ATTCTTATAGTCCTTTTTACACATATAGTCTATAAATTTCATTTCAGAAATAGAAATATATATATATATATATATATATATATATATATATATATATAATAAATATTAAATTTCGAGCAGCTAAAACAAAACTCTATATGGACATCAAAAGAAATATTTTACAAAACAAACAAGATATTACTCTGTGACGTCGTCCCCCGGACGCAGCGTCGACTGTGACGTTCTATCCTGATCTACCACGGCGCCGGTTGTGACGTCCCCAAACAGCACCAATTGTGACGTCCTCGCCGCGGCGCCAGCTGTGCGCTCCTCGCTGCTCCGTTCGGGTGTCGCTGCTCCAAACGTGACGTCCGCCTGTCGCGTCAGTCGTGTTGTCTCGTCCTGTGACGACCAACTGGCTTGGTATCGGTCGCGGCACCCAAATGTGACGTTCTAACCTTTTGGTGATTGTGGTGGGAATCTGGTTAGATTTGATATCAGCCTCGTCGTTCCCAACTCGCTTCCAACGCCTGGTTACCAAGGTAACTGCATTGGTCTCCAGTCTGCCTACCCACGTTGTGAATTGATCTTAGACAGACGAGATCAAACAGTGGTTGGGGCCGTAATACAAACTGAGTTCAACGGGGGTGATACTACACAAATATGCATAAAAGAAAATAAAATGAAAACTCAAAAAGTTCAAAGTATCAAAGAAAAAGGTAACAAACTTTATATCTAGTTGTTGAGAAACGTAAAACTTTGTTGCAACAAATTTTCCACGGATAAAATATTACATTCCAACGAAGTTTTACGTTTCTCAACAAATTTTCCGCGGATAAAATATTACATTCCAACGAAGTTTTACGTTTCTCAACAAAATTTCCGCGGATAAAATATTACATTCCAACGAAGTTTTACGTTTCTCAACAAATTTTCCGCGGATAAAATATTACATTCCAACGAAGTTTTACGTTTCTCAAGAAAATTTCCGCGGATAAAATATTACATTCCAACGAAGTTTTACGTTTCTCAACAAATTTTCCGCGGATAAAATATTACATTCCAACGAAGTTTTACGTTTCTCAACAAAATTTCCGCGGATAAAATATTACATTCCAACGAAGTTTTACGTTTCTCAACAAATTTTCCGCGGATAAAATATTACATTCCAACGAAGTTTTACGTTTCTCAACAAATTTTCCGCGGATAAAATATTACATTCCAACGAAGTTTTACGTTTCTCAACAAATTTTCCGCGGATAAAAATTAAATTCCAACGAAATTTTATGAACAACAAAATTTTTATATTTAAAAATAAAATTTGTAAATCTTCAACGTTTCCACATCTTCGGTTTCCACTCGGTGCATAACTATAAATGATTTTCTCTCTCTCTCTCTCTCTCTCTCTCTCTCTCTCTCTCTCTCTCTCTATCATTATTTACATTACTCGGACTTTTATCTTCATCTTCATTACCATATACACAACGTTTCCGCCGATGTACACTAAATCTCCTTAAGGTGATTGGATCTTCGAACCGAACACATTATCTCGTTCACAGGAGGTAGACTGTGCTAGTTCCACGTGCCATTCCTCCTCCGGGTGGATCGATTATTTCCCTTTCACTCGACTCTCCAAGTTTTCGTTCACCACTGCTGTGGCCTGCTATTCCTACTCTTTGGCTCTAGTCACTGGATCTAACCAATGTCTTTATCCACTGGGCAAAGTGGCCTTGAAGACATCTGTGTATGAATTTTTGGGAATTATATAACTTGCAATTTTTTCTATTATTATTATTGCATTTTTACCAGAGTTCATATTGTAATTTTTGTTGTTATTCATTGCATTTCTCTAGCACACATTATTACCGGTTAGCATATTGTATCCATTTCTATGCTTGGTCAGTTCAGGAGATTTTTCTGGCTTAGCTCATGTGCTGATTCCTTAAGTTTTCGTATTTTCCCGTGATTCTATCTGTCTATTATTACCACTACATACCACATCCCTTCCATATGTGTTCATCTACGCTTGATTTTTCTATTTCCCCTCGTGTTACTGCTTTACGATGTTCTTGAAGTCTTACCTTAAGGGGGCGGCCTATTTCTCTTTTGTATTTTTGTTTTTCTTGCCACAGCTGCACGGGATGGCGTACACACAGTACTTAATCATGTTCTTCTCTATGGTATCTGCGAAGTGTTGTTTATATGGACCACAGATCTTTTGTATTTCTTTTGATAATCTCATCAAATAGGCTAGTCACACTGAATATGTTTTCTGAGTGTTGTTATCGTTTTCTACCCATCTATCCCAGTTTTTCGGAGCAGCTGCCATGTATTCAGTGTAGTTGTTATGTTGTAGGCTACTGCTTTTCTTGTTCGTATATCTCTGAGTCGCCACTTCTGATAATTGTTCGATGATGTAAGCAGCGGGCGATTCCTTTCTTTATACTGTATTAATGTTGTCGGGTTGAAGTTGAGGTATTGTCCAGTGAATGTTGTCTCGCAATATACGGATGTCTTGAACCCCTGCTCTTTTCTGGATATTAGTACATCCAGTAAAGCGCGTTTTTTGTAGTTTTCTCGCTCCATTGTGAACTGTATCGATGATCGTATTGAGTTCACATGGTCCAGTAGTAGATGGACGTATTACTAGTGTGGTCAGAGTGTGAAAGTGTCATCTACGTATATCAGCCAGTGGTGGAGATTCTAATGACATTTCCTCAGAATATTCCATATGTAGGTTTGCCATTGCTGGTGATAATGGCGAGCCCATTGCTAAGTCGTCATCCTGCTAATATATGTCTGATCTCATTCTAACAGTTCGAGTTATGTAAATAATGCAAGTAATCATAATACCTCATCTCACTTTCTCTCTCCCCATATATATATATATATATATATATATATATATATATATATATATATATATATATATATGTTCCATATTAGTTGATTTAAAACAGTGTTCGATAGAATAACCTTGAGCTTGTAAATATAAATATAGGTAACTATACTCGTTTCGAAAAACCTTCGAATTTTTGAATTGCCAATAATCAAATCAATCTCGAAGGAAAAAAAGGTTTTAAAAAAGAAAGAGCCAGGAACATGAAAGTCTGTCGAATAAATCGCACAGATACAGGTTTAAAGCTCAAAGAAAAAACCCCGACACGAGTAAACAACTAACTAAAAAGAGCTCAATACAACCGTAGAGCAGACCTAGATAAACCTAGTGAGCCAGACAAACCTACCCAGGTTTCACCTAAGCGGATCATCAAAGAAATATATATATATATATATATATATATATATATATATATATATATATATATATATATATATATATATAAAGGGAAAATTACATTTTTTTTCTTTCAGTCCTTATCATTGATATAATATATTCTCCCATAAGGTTCATTAGGTTTGTAAAATAAATGGATTATAAACGAAAATGCTTTTGATACACTCCAATATTCTGAGTAGTAGTGTAAAAGAAAGGCAACTATAGGACAATTTTCGAATAATAGCATTTAGTGCTGTTGCCTTTTACGTTTTAAGCTAGATACAAAAATTTTAAGCTCATGAAGACATTACGTGTCGGAGAAACATATCAGTTTTTAAATATCAGTAAAAATTTTTACGTAAATCTGGAAAAAAATCTTACGTTATGATGCGTATTGTCTTTCTGCTTGAAGAAATCTCAAATCTCTGTATGGGGAGGTCATCCCACTAGGCAGTACCTCTCCTTCGAGTGAGAACTAAGATCTTTACCCGCCGTCTCCAAAAGAGGAAGAGTCGAGGGTTTTGGTGTATATTTCTACGCTTTAAGTATCAACATTGTGTCACACTCGATAAGACGTGAGTGCACTGAAAAATTTGCCCTTCCTTAAGGCCGATGAAGTTTTAAAAGACTAAATGCCCTCTGAAAAGTCTTTCCATTTTCTAATATATTTTACTATAACTTATTGATTTGATTGATTTGGTTTTTTACGGTTTATCAACCTTTTGGGGTTATTTGAAGGTGAAACATTTTGGAGGATATAATAATGATTTTCCAATACAAGTTCTACTATTTAACTCCTAACTGGGAGGTGAAGAGATGAATTTAGACATTTCCAAATGATATTTGCACATCTCTATCTATAAAAGGCAGTATGTGTGTGTGTGTGTGTCTGTGTGTGTGTGCGTGTGTGTGTGTGTGTGTGTAACGAATGTACAGCCGCAACTTTCGACGGATTTGCACCAAAATTTACATGCACATGCTCCAAGTGAGCGGGAAGGCCAAGACTGACTTTGTATTTCCCAACTCCCATCGATAGTGGAAATAAGTTTTTCATGCTTCTACGGCACTTTTCATGTAGTTTGCGGCCATTTTCTACTGGCCAGAGCGAAAGCCTATAGCTGGCTGCCACGAATAGGCAGGAAGAGTCTGTTGGCAAGCTCGAGAGCCAACAGCTGACTGACACGAATGTTAACTAGCATGCAAAAAATATCGATAGCTGCATTCGTCACAAGTGGGAAAAAATTTAATCTGCATGCCACTTTACTCCAATTGGCTCATTCGCTTGCTTAAAGTCAACGTTGATTCTGATTCCGCAGAACTGGGTTGGGTGTGAAAAAGTATTTGTTGTTAACATTCTTTTTTCATTCGGCTTTTCCAGTTACGAGTTCTTTTTTTAAAGCTGATCGTTTTGTGTTCATTTTGTTTAGTTCTTTTTTCGTAACAGATTTAATGTTTAGTATAGAGCTTAGAAAAAATTCACAGTGTGAGATAGGCAAGAAGTAAGGCATGTAGCAACATCAGCACGGCAAGGGCACTCCTTTAAAGGCAAGGAAGGGCAAAAATATTTTAAGTCAAGTGATAGCGATTGCTGTACGAGTCGTACGATTTTTGAATCAAACACGGGCAACGCCGGCCCATCCTGCTAGTAAGTGAATAAAACAAACCAGACTTTAATTAGAACTCGGTTTTCCGAGTTTTCATTCCGAGCCTTTATCCATTACACTACCGCTACATCCAATGTTATAGCACCTGATATTCCAAAGCGGCCCCACAACTTCTTACTTACCAGACTCAACATTGCTTAACTTCGGTGATCGGACGAGAACCAGTGTTTCAACGGAATATATTATAGTGATATTTAATGTCGAATATAAATTGTACGGGAAAAATATTAAAATGATTAAATAGATAATCAAATATAGATCAAATCTGTAAGTAACTGCACATGATCCGTATTTGGGAGGGGGAGTTGTACGCCTCTGCAGAATATACAGTTGACTCCGCAAGCAAAGCAATAAAATCTTGATAGCAAAACATTATGCATTTACAGGCATATAAATGGACAAAAAAGGAAACCTTGTTATCTTCTCTTTAAAATGAAACCAGATCATGATTTTTATGAAGCTATAGGTTGAAGGCCTCCACCTGATTCTACCATGTCAACACCTATCCATTAGCCTTCCCTCAACATAATCTCTAGACGTCTGCAGCGGATATGATATTAAATTCTTGCGACAATACAATCAAATCTCACACCTTGGCTGCAAACAAATCTATTTATTAAAACAGAAGTCTAGACATCAATTTAACGCGGTTTTCTCAGATTTTATAATCAATATTTTCTTTACTTTTCTGTGGCAAAGAACACGCAGATAATAATAGTTTCGATGTATCAGTGTCTGCAGATCATATGCTCCAAAACATAAAAGATTGAAAAATATGATCCGTGCACTTAGTCCGTATTTTTACGTGTGAGTATTTTAATTACATAACCAAATATATTAATTAGTCTTTCGATCGATAAAGATATTCCAGACGTTCAATTATACTATAAGCGTTCAGAATCAGGGATAGAGCGTATGCATATATATAAAGGTGGACATTGAAGTCGCCCACTCTGTTTCAGGCCTGACGATTGCGTTTATCAAAAAACAGAATGTTTTCTCTGGGTGTTGACTTCCATGAAACACAATGGAAATTAGAACGTTCAAGTTTAACAAGAAGGTGAGAGGGAGAAGAAAAAGTAGATTATCATGAAAACGTTTTTCTTCTATGCTTTTAATATGTATACAGTTCGTGTATATACACACACGCACACAAAAATGCGTATATATATATATATATATAATATATATATATATATATATATATATATATATATAAAGAAATAAGCATACATAGAATCAATCAGCAATATTAATGCGATTAATGGCGAAATCACTTCGCTAGTAGAACATAATGTAAGCATTGAAATACTGTTAATCTATTGAATGATGTGATCCTCATTTATAAAACTGTTGTCAGATGTTTTCTAGTGTATATTTTTTTAAGTTAAGCAAGTACTTTCGAAGATCCATGTCTCCATCATCAGGCTGTAATTTTTTTCCTTTAAAGTTAAAACTTGAAGACGAAATAATTGTTTATAGACCGAAAGATGTTTTTTAAGAATGTGCTATTTATTGACGGTTGTACAATCTCAGAACTTGCAAGACGGAACGCTATAGTTCAAAATTTCAAGTGAGAATTTTTATATGAATTTTGTAATATGGTAAATCCACGAATTCTTTTTTTTTACAAGTGTTTTTCAGTTAACATGACATGAACTAAGTATATAGTTCAATTAATATTGTGATATGTCTTAGTAGTTTTTTTTTTTCTCAGGAATTTTGTACCGCGGGATCAATTGTTTTTTATAAACATATTGGCAGCATATATATTATACATAAATAAATAATCATACATAGAATCAATCAGCAATATTAATGCGATTAATGGCGAAATCACTTCGCTAGTAGAACATAATTTTCCAGAAGATCTAACACCTTGAACAAGAAAACAATCCCGAAAAGACCAAAAGGTAAACCCCTAACTACTCACTAAAGAAAAGTGTTTAACGCCCAGGTTATCTCGATAGAGCAAAAACCTCTTCACATCTTCAACACTTAACGAAATTTAACAACGATCAATCAGCAATATTAATATTAATTATTAATGCGATTAATGGCGAAATCACTTCGCTAATGGAACATAACGTATCCATTAAAATACTGTTAATCCATTGAATGATGTGATCCTCATTTATAAAACTGTTGTCAGATGTTTCTAGTGTATATTTTTTTAAGTTAAGCAAGTACTTTCGAAGAGCCATGTCTCCATCCTCAGGATGTAATTTTTTCCTTTAAAATTAAAACTTGACATGACGTTCCACACTACTTCGAACACATTTTTCCATACATAGGCAAAAACTAAGATGAACTTAGTGTTTAGCTGTAGATGGGGAAAAAATTGCACCCTGAAGATCAGAATTTGAAATTGTTGAAAGTACTCGGCATGTGTCTTCCATCTGACACCTACTTGAATATAAGGATCTTATTATTCAAGGAATTGATAGTAAGTTAATGTCTCATTAAGTCTTGTTAGCGAAGTAATTTCGCCATTAATCACATTACCATTTCTATTCAATTCTTTGTGTAAATTGTTTTATGATATATATATAGGGGGTGCGCCTGGATGTGTACATATCATATTTAAGCAACTGGTGAAGATCGATAAATCCATGTATATAGGATTGATTATAATCCAATTTTGAAATATGAAAAAGGTAATAATAAGATTCCTTTGTAATATCAAACACATTTATTACATTATAAAGGGCACATACACTTGTGCAAACGCAAAGTGCAGAAAAACGTCAAATTTTTATTAAATTCTTATTTCAAACTGCACCAATTATAGAAAAGAAAAATCACGATTCATACAAATGCTCACACGGAAAACATTTTGTAAGCGTCTTTTTAATAAATCTCTGGAAAATCTAATTGAAAATGAAAAGCAAATGTGTATTTTACAACGCACTCTACCATTGAAAACATAACGTCGAAATGGCTGGTGTAATTTTATTTTATTGGGTTGATGTCTTTGATAAAGCGAAATAAAGCAAAATCTTTTAAAAACACACAGTTAAATCGGAAAAAAAGGTCTTTGATATCTGGTCGACATATTTTTGAACTCTCGAGGAAAATTGTTAACATTCACGCTTGTTCAGTTTTTTCCTTTCCTACGTTCGATTTCCTTTCGGGAAAGGATTTGATAAAAGCTTGTATTCAAAATGAAAAGAGAATCAATTGCAGATGCTATTATTTTGAAAACAGCATTTCTGCCACGTAGACGAAAACGCAAAGAAAAATCCATGGCAGATATAAAGATCGTTCCTTCTTTGCGAATATCTGTCTTTCTGCCTGGAATGTCGCTTTTCATTCCGATTTATTCACGTGTAACAAACCTGAAAGGAATTTGCCATATTTCTTTATTCTAAGACGCATTCTTACGCTCATCATACGCTTGCATAAACAAATTGTCTCAATGCCTTCAGTTGAATACAAACACAGCAATTGTTTGTTTTTTTTTTCCGCTACGATTTCTTCTGTATAGATAAACTTCGTCAGCCTCGTTGTTCCAAGCGTACGGTATAGCTAGTCGATCCTTAGTGAAATAGAAGTCTTATAAGGTTTTATTATCCGGGACATAATCTTAATCGCAACATATACAAAAATAACACTGTATTGATGGCAGACACAGAATATATAATTATAGAATCACGATTAGAAATTATCGAGGATAACAGAAATAAAAAACTAATTATCAGTCAGAAGAAGACAGAATATAGAGTCCTTAGCAAGAGCAATATCCGTATATGTGTGTTACAAAATAGAAACATCAATTCCGGAGACGTATTGGGATGTACAAAGATGCATCCCAAAAGCTAAGCAGAGTATTAAGAGACTGAAAATTTTCGTTTCGAAACAAAGGAAAGAGAACTGAACTGTTACGCCATATCTGTCTTCTTGTATGGAAGCGAGTGCTGGACAATATCATCAAGGATAAAGAAGAGACTTGAAGCAACAGAAAAGTGGGTTTACAGAAAAAATGGTGAGGATACCATAGACCAAACATGTGAGCAAGAACGAGGGTTTGGAGAAAATAGAAATTTATACTAACATCAGGATGAGACAGTTAACATTTCTGAGGCACGTAATGAGGAAGGAGGGCTTGGAAAACATGATACTCACAAGAGAGATTGAGGGAAAGACGGACAGAGGAAAGCGTTACATACTTGGTGAGCAAATGAATGGTAGAACGATGTTTGGCAGAAATAACAAAATAGACAGATTTATTGAGAGCTACAAAGAACAAGAAGATGTCAGGGGCCACGGTCGCATATGTCTTGAAAGAACACATCGCATAAAAGAAGAAAAATTAATTTAACTATGGGGGGGGGTAACAGAGGATGGACGGAAATCTGATGTCGCATTGAGTTAATAGAAGATGACTTCCAAAAGCTAAGCAAATTATTATTCATTCGGAACAATGTGTTGTGAGGGAGAATATTTCCTTATAAGCTTGGAATCGGCCGTCGTATGAAAGAAATAAAAATACACCCACATCAAGAGGAGTAGCAGTAGCAGAAATAGCCTTTGCTGAAAACAGTCATTCACAGTAAACATCCCCATCCCTAGTTCTATTCTACGTTATATTTCTATGTACCAAAAGGTAACAATGTTGTTGTTAAACAAATGCTGGTTTTCTATTGTCGTTTTTGATAACTCAGTTACAACCCAAAGAATAGTGCGCTGAATGACGATATAATGTCAATCTTCTTGTATGGGGATGAACGCTGAAACATTTCTCACAGACGAAGAGGAGACGAAGAGGCAACAGAGATGTGGATCTGTACAAAAATAATGAGAATACACTGGACAAAACTGGTGATCAGCGAGGAATTTTCTTTAATAGGTTTCGCCCCAAGCAAGACTCTAATGCCACTAAAATACAAGGTGTTCCAGTGTGAGGAAGAATTAGGAACAGAAACATTAATGATGTGTAGGAAGAGAATAGAGTAAGCAGGTGAACAGTGGAAAGCGATTGACATAGCATTTAAATTTGAAGATTTATTAAGTTTATTTAGCTTTAAGTTTGTTAGCTGGAAAGCACGGAGCCAGAAGGGAGTTCCACAAGCAAGGGATTAAATCCACTAAGACGCAAGGGTTTGCTGGGTGAGGGAGAATTAGGAATATATATATATTAATAATAGGCGGAAAGAAAAAAGAGCAATCAGGAAG